TTGACTATGGATTGTTAGTCAGAGTTTAGTTAGAAAGAAAAACTATCCCAATGTACATCATGGGAAAAAAAAAAAAAAAAAAAAAAAAAAAAAAAAAGAGAAACACAATTCTTTACAGTCATATAGGGAAAATATTCTCCACTCTTACACCAATGATGGACACAGAACAAGCTCCTAGGTGCATACCTGATGTTACTATGTCAATCTCTAGCACAGAGTAACTAGCACTTCGATTTTTGCAAGAAGAATTTTCAGCTAGTCAGCAGTATTGACCCTATATCCATTGTTTAAAGAAATGTCTTCTGTGCTTTGATGTTTCATCAGGCAAGGCTTTAACTTTGTAGCCATCAAACCTCTGTCATCCCACTGCCCCTCTAATAGCATCCACATACCCACTACACTAATTGCCAAAAGAGTAATCGATCCGAACACAAAAACAATCTTTTGTATTTCTAGTACAAAATCAGTTCCATAAACTAAGAAGTGACCAACTATCTTACCCTGTATCAGGTGCTGATTAGTATTTAAATGGAAAACGTTGTCAAGTCAGAATGGTAAAAACTCAATGAAAATTTCATCCAAGTTGTAATAGATTTTTTTTCCTTTATCTAACTACAAAATCAGAAAATTACAGTAGTATACCTCTGACTGAGAGAAATTAAATTAAAGATCAGGCTCTGTGTAAGAATGGTTGTACTGGTTTTGGCTGGGACAGAGTTAATTTTTCTCATTAGTAGCTCTAATAGTGCTGTTCTGTCTTCAGTATGGGATTTGGTATGAGAAGAACGTTGATAATACACTGATGTTTTCAGCTGTTGCTAAGAGATCCAGGACTTTCCAACTTCCCACGTCCTGCCAGTGTGCAGGTGCACAAGAGGTTGGGAGGGAGCACAGCCAGAGCAATGGTCCCAAACTGGCCAACGGAATATTCCATATCATGTAACGTCATGCTCAGTATATAGAGGAGGGTTAGCCAGGAAGGATTGTGGTTTGGGGATCTTGGCTTTTCTGGGATCGGGCTGGTTATCAGTCAGCAGGCTGCAAGCAATTGCATTGTGCATTACCCATTTGTGTTCTCTATTATTGTTATTATTGTTTATTTTATTTCAATTATTAAACTGGTTTTATCTCAACCTGCAAGTATCCTCACCTTGGAGTGTTCACCACTGGATACCAAGTACCCAATTCCCGTTCCCTGGGTGGGGAAAGGTGAGTGAGTGGCTGTGTGGTGCTTGGCTGCCAGCCAGGCTTAAACCACAACAGTATTGTAGAGTGGGAGAGCCTCTTTCAGAAGACAGAGAGGAATCAACTCTAAGAATACTTTCAAAGTCTTTCTCCTCCAGTGAAAAAGAGGTAACCATGTTCCTGGAATTAACCAACTTCAGGGATTCCCAAACCTTTTACCTTAGCGTTCAGCAATGTATTTTGGTTTTGTTTGGGAAGAGGTAAAGTTCAACAATGAAAACTGAAGACTTGCAGGACAATTTACATGGTAAGTCTCAATATATACCTTGCATATTAATCCCCTTGTCAGAAAGGGAACATAAATCTAGGTATTTGCAGCCCATCAGGGAGTGCTAAGTGCCCAATTACACAGCAACTTCTACACAATACTAATGTCCCACTGACAAAACACCATTCAGAATTTTTCTGAGTGGTGCTAGGAAGCATTCAAAAAACGGTCTTGTGCTTTGCTTCTCCACATATTGGTACAAATCACAGGTTCCTTTTACAGCATGACTGATATTTCACTCGTGATCTTCAGGAAAAATAGAGTGACTACTATCAGCAGAAACTGCAATGACAAGGTCACAACGATTTAGAAATTATTTCAATTATATTTCCTAGGGTTATACTGTTTCTTTTGTACTGTCCTACTAACCTTTAAAGAAATCATACATTTGTGAAAAATAAGAAGTGGCTTGAGGAGAGGAACAGTAGCCACAAATTTATGTATTATTTAGGGATCTACTTCTCAAACTAAAGGAACTGGAAAAATTAATACGTTCTCTGCCTGCGGTTTTTCATCAGTAATAATACATCAGGTTTAATAACAGTAACCCAACACTACCATAAAGTTCAATTCACTCCTGTTTGCAACAGGGTTTTTGGCAGCTTTGGATGAATACTCCCATGTTGTGGATGAGTGTTTTATGATCCTGCCAATTTGTCCTGAATTCTGATTTATGATCACTCAAAGTGACTTAACAGAGTTTGATGGCAAGGTTCATTCTATTACTTACTGCATGAAGGAAACATACAAAGGAAAATCGAGGCAAAATTGATTTTGAATGATATACACAGAGATTGGAGGTGCGAAGAGGTAAGGGAGTAGCCCCCATTGAGTCATGAGGTTCAGAATGGACCCCTAAACTCCTGATGGAAATTAGGTGTGGCTGGATCCACCCCTAGTTCCAGACTTGGTCAATGGCTTATATCTAAAGGATTTTATGTGCTTATGGCTAAAGGATTATATGTGCACACTCGGTTCTTTATATCACTTTGTTAAATTTTCAAAATTTCATCATGCTTATTCCCAATTCACTTACCTTCTGTCTAGGCGTCCAGTTTTAGTTTGTTCTGAAGTTCAAACCCTTCAATCTGGGTGTCTGGTGTTAGTTTTCTCTGAAGTTTGAGGTTTCCCAAAACAGACCTTCAGGCATCAGATTTTACGTGAATAAATAATGTAACAGAGTGGTACAGCAGGAGGGTCAGCTTGAGCTGGTGCCTCTGGAGAGGGGTCAACCCAAATAAAGAAATCCCTGGGCAGTTATACCCTTACAGACTCTTCAGTCACCACTCACATACTCTCTTCGTGTGCTTTCCCTGCACCTAACAGTAATACTGGTCTGAGCTTCTGACACCTGACACCTTATTAGATTCCTTCACTGTCTTCAGCCAGGTCATTCATTACCTTGTCGAGTTGCAGGTGCTGTTGACGGTTGTAGCCTTGAAGCCTCCTTATCTGCTGATTTACGCTGGCTCTGGAGGCCCCTGTTTTGACTAAGTAGGTATATGTTCAGTAAATCTAAGTGGAAATTTACACATTGCAGCCTAAGGATTCAGCAAATCTAACTACTCATGCTAAGTAAGGTAAAGCTAAGCATACTAAATCACACAACACTATAACTCTAAGTGATTTGTTCTATTTAAAACTTATTTCAGCTAAATGACTAATATCTGTTAACACTGAGGCATTCCTGCTGAAGGAGAGAGTTGCCAGGCATGCAGCTCAGTTGCCATCCAGAGAGAAGTCAAATTGGGCTCATCCACTGATCTGTCATTGGTAAAACATCATGTTGCTTCAAGGAGCAACCTTGAGAGGCATGCCAGGGGATCAAGGGGAGATCGCCACCATGCAGCCACACTTAGGGCGTCATATTTATGGAATAAAGTGGTTGGCTCTTAATCAGATTGCATACAGTGAGAGAGTATGCCTGAGACTCCTTGTCGTTCCTGCTCCTCTGTAGCTTTCCTAGAGGAGTTCTTGGCCTGGCTACAGCTCAGGCCTTTACTTCTTCTAGAGCCTGTATTAACCTGCTGCTAGTTTGGTTAAGATGAGCACATCGAATTCATCTGCCACACACCATTAAAGGCAAAAGTAGTGTTCTACAACATTTTACTCATAGCAAAACTTGGCAGAGGGTGGAGCGATACCTTGGAAAACATTTCATGTGTTCCTCAGTTGAGGCAGAGGTAGGTCTGCATACCAACTGTCTGTTCTGTACACAGACGCAAAACAAATAGGGCAAAGCCATGTGCTACAATACCATTTTGGCATCAAATTCTCATTTAATTTTTAACTGCAATCAGTCACCCAAGTACATTTGTGGCCTAGGTCTAAGCGCTCATATTTATTCCAGCAAGCTGGCCCATCATTCAAAAAAGCAGAACACTGTTTACAAATATAACCTATAGATGCTGCCATTACGTTTATCTCAAAAAGGTCTGAGAAAGGGAAAATTCACTGACCAAGGAAATAGACATCAGCAGAGAGGAAAGCTGACAATATTGATGATATGCCTTTGGGCAAGAAAAAGAGGTTCTTCATCATCTTTCAGTGTGCCTGAGGCTTCTAGCATGAAGCACAGGAAAGAAAGGCTAGAAAACTTTCATTACTGTTTTACACAATGCATTTCCTTTCAGCTGAAAATGGTGAGAGGGACTGAAACAGCTACCCCTTCCAGTAATAGATATTTTTGCTATCTAATATATGTCAATATAAATGATAGCTATAGTCAAATAAACTGCTGAAGCATAAAAGAATTCAGGCTTGGAAAAGGATATTTTTGCCTGTATGAAACACATCTGGCAGTCCTACCTGAAAAGAAATGTGTATCTATATACAGGGGGAAATCATGGCAAGGTACGATGTTATATTTCTTGAGGGTCTTTTCCAATCAAACATTAAGCAATATGAGAAACTCAGAAGTCTTCAGTTCCAGGGTTTTCTCACTCCCACCTTTATACTGTGACTATTAGACCACATTCTTGTATTCATTTATTTCAGACAAAAATGCATCTTTTGTTTCAATACTGTCAATATGGTGCTTTAACTGTTTGGACATATGTCTTCCCTGGGTATACTATTGCATTTCATGATTTTTTAAAAGTTGGATTATTTCACTATGCTTAATGGGCCTCTAAAGGAGTTATGGTATAGTATTATTATTGGGTTTGTATCCCTTAAAGCCATGAATCTGTAGCACTGTTTTTTTGAAAGTATTGTTTTTGCTAAATAATAGCAAAAAGTAACTATGTGTTTCCTTCTCCTTGGAGGGAAAAGAGTTATGTTGTTTTTGTAATTCAGGAAATGAAATGGATTCTTCTTTCCTCACTGTATGTAGAGGCTACAGAAGTGTCAAAAATGAGGTTCAAAGTCAAAGTCTGTAGTGACACTGCTAGCTCAACTGAAATCAGGAGATGTTCCCATTCAGAGGAACAGTGATTTCATCTCCGGATTCTCTCACCACATCAGCATCAGATGTCTTAACCTCTCTGTGCCTCAATTTTCCCACCTACAAAATGATGGCAAATGACCGATGACTGCCAATTGACAATCTGGCTATCCTTAATCTTTCAGAACATCTTGTAAACTGTGCAGAGGAAAAGTATATTTTTAGATCACAGACATCATAAAAATCCCAGGATATCTAAAGACACAACAGGTAAAATCCCTTTGACTTCAGTGGGAATTGTTCATGCTTGATGAAATATGGATGATGCACAGAAGCCTCTTGGCTGTTGGAAGTGGCAGTGACTCATCTGCATCTGCTCAGATTTCATCTAGAGAGGAAATAACTTTTTTTTTTTTTTTTTAAGTATTTTAACGTGGATATGAATGTTCTGAATCTAGTATTAACTGATTCTGAATTAAACATAACTGAATTAAACATTTCTGAATTAAAACTAACAAATTTCACATTTAAAGACATTCTCCAATGTTGAAATTCACTTAAATTACAGGAGGAAAACAAGAATATTCTGTGTTGATATTAAGTTCATTTAGAGTATTGACTGGTGTATGAAAATTATACTAAATGCTTGATTTTCTTGTTCTCTTCCCTAAGCATCTGCTGTTGGCCTCAGTTGTGAGGTGGACCGTTGTCTGATCCAGTACCACCATTTATGTGTGCAAATCATGTGACATAAATGACAGCAACATTGCCACTTTGGTTTCCAAGTGCACTTGACTTCAACTATGTTTTGTGTGAGACTGCCAAATTCTCGTTTGGTCACAGTAATGTCTATATGCTAGATCGTTAAGAAAGCACATATGCCACAATTCACAATATATCAATGAAATGGAAACTGCTTTCAGCAAGACTTTAAAATCTTGTGGACTCCAAAAAGTGTTTGAACACTTGTACCCTTGGAGAAAATGCTTGTGATGCTCAATATCAGTCTCTTAAGATGCACAAGAAGGCATAATGAATGAATCATTAACTCCGGTTTGTTCTGACTTTAAACAGTTCAAATCCATGGCTATTGTTAATTTTGGCATGTAATTTACTATATATGTATTATATTTCAGCATATTAAGTAGCTTTTTGGAATGCAAATCTTCTGACCTCAAGATTTTGCAGGTAAAATCCAGGAAAATATGACCTTTATGAAAAACAAAAGAAACTAAGTTATTCAGTAGCTAAATCAAGCTCTTAAACAAAAAGCTTCATGGAAGTTTAAAGTGAATACAAAGCTCTTTTTAAATTAAAGGTCAACACCAAGAACTCTCTGAGAAGTAAAATTAAAATTCAGCAAGAGCAATAATAAGTTTCTAAAGGTTCCTTATTGGCAAGTATTTTAATGTTAAAAAGGAAAATGGAATTAAGGGAACATCTTTGTGCCTGAATTTCCACTGAGTAAACAAGCAAATGATTTATTGAGCTTTGCCTCCTTAGATCCTGGAATATATGTGAGCAATGTTTGATCTCTGTGAAGGAATCCACTTGAACCAGATAAAAATATTCTTGCTGTGTAGACTGGTTATAAAGATCTGTCAGTGAGGTTTGCCTTCTCTATGTCCCTCAAGCCATTAGTCGACTGGACCATCCAACATTTGTCAGCCTCATCTGGACTTCATTTGCCATCAGTAGAAATTGTTCCAGTGCTCCCTGTAGCTAGAAAAAGCCTATTTGGCAGATAAACCTTTCTGGTGTTAAATCACTATTTAAGAATACCTAAACGTGCATTCTAGTTTATATTCTGAAAGATCCCTTTATTTGGTAAGGGTGCTTACATGAATAAATGCGAACATGTAAATTCTGGGTGGAAATTGAGACACAGAATTCTATATTTTTATTATTTGCATATGGAAACACAAAACCTAAACACCATAGTAATGTGTGACAGTTGTTCAAAAGCATGTCAAAAGTGAAACAAAAGAATATCAAACATTGGATTCACTCAGTTTCTTAGATCCACTTAATTTCTAAAATATTTAAATACAGTCATTTACTCTGGATACTTGATGAAAAATAAATCAACTTTTCATATTGTTGTATATCATTTCAGAACAGCAGAGTTATTTAAAGCCACATCCTTATAGGGCAGATTGTCTCTCAGACTACAGAATAAAAAATGTAAAAGGAAGGTGTAGCAAAACCAAGGAGAAACAAAAGAATAGAAAATTTGCATCAATTTCTCTGTTGTTTTAGGTATATAATATTTCACAAAGTATTCTAAAAAAATAATTACTTATTGGTAATGCAGAATTTCCTTTCAGATTATCAGATCGAACCCCCTTTGCATACCCATCTACAAAATCTATTCTGTATCCAACCGTACTACCATGTATTGCTGTCTATCAAAGAGAGTCTTCCTGAGAAGCGTGTTGTCAGTGGCAGGCAGCATCTGCTGTTTTGAAAAAGCAAGGTATGTTCTTTCTTCTTGTGTGCATTAGCAGGTATAAAGGCTTTGAAAGCAACAGCCTTTCCTGAAGGAGAAAGGAACACAGCCTACTCTGCCATCATTATAATAGCTCTGGAACAGAGACAAGTGTCTGTGTATTGACCACTCAAGAAAACAGGAAAACAAGGAAACCTGTGTAAAATTTGTCACTATTTTGGTTGTGCTTGATTTTACAAAGCAACTCTCCCAGTTGTATTGATTCCTGCTTTATTTTGAGACTACTTAGGAGCTGAGAGGGGGGGGAAAGAAAGCCATTGCAGAATTCTGTAACAGATACATATATTCTTATTCTTTCTCAATCAGATCCCAGCCAGGACTCAAGACAAGCCACTCTGCAACTGCTGTGTGACAGAAGTCACAAAGGAGTTAGTGGGCAGAGTGTGAGGTCAAAGATCTAGTCAGGCTTTTTTTCCCTTTGGCCTTCCTTTTAGCACCCATGTTCAAGTGGCAAATGCCACTTCTCTCCAGTTACCACCACTAATTTTTTGAATTGATGCTCAAAAAGACCTTCTATCAGAGCAGCCGAAATCCATATCCGTGAAGAAATGCAATGATTTGCTAGCCAAAAGGGAGAAATAACGATTGTAAGACAACCAGAACGCTGGAAGAATCATGGTCACGCTGTTAGCCCTGTGCGTTATTCATGTGACATGTATAAGGAAGTATGAAAGAGATTTTGAAAGTTAAGAGTTAGGTAAGCAGCAATAAGGCTTAAAACACAGTCCTTTCCGACTCCTCAGATTCCCTGTAGAGAACGTGACATGGTGTTTTTCTAAGCCTCTCACAAAATGCATTAATACAAACGTGAAATACGCTTGTGGTTTAGTGAGATTTAAGTGCAGCATTGCAAGCCAGTAAAGAATGACAATTTGATTTATAGTAGTCGACTTAAGAAATATTATTGTTCATGTTGGGGAATACATATAAAACCTTATGCACTCTATTTTTCATGATTCACGTGTACCACAAAATGCCAGAATTAATCTTAGACATTTTTATTCCAACATCGTGTAAACAGAATGCATCTTGCATCAAACTGGTCTGATGCATAAGAAGCATGCAGAAGAACTTGCTGTATCTCCCTGAAACAAGGGGAATACAAGAAATGGCTTTTATTAACACAGACGAAAACAAATTAAACATATTTAAGAAAACATTAAGAATACTGATCTTAATCTAAGATAGAAAGCTCTAATGATTGTTCCAATTGCACCCAAATAGGTGCAGGTGAATCTAGATACATTGTGGTTTACGAAAAAAAAAAGTCAAGCATTATGTATTTGTGATGTTTGCTGGTATGAAACTGTCCCTCTTCCATACCTACACATTCTGCCTGTTCCCACCTGTGAACTCCAGCCAGTGTCAGTCAGACCCAGTTTGAATATGTTAAGTCAGTGCAAAACTAATCTCATAGAGTGAACAATTTGCATAAAACTTTTTCTTGCTCTGTCTAATTTTATGCTGACTTGGCACAGAAGTGTCTCAAGCAGCAATGAGCTCAGCCTAGCATCCCTGGGACCACATCCTTAACCTCCCTGTTTGGAAATCAGTCCATCTCTGCCCTGCTAATATGCACAGAAAAGACAAGAGTTCCTGTAAAAGGACTGAGAGATGAACCAAATGAAGCAGAACAGGAACCTGACCGTATTTCCCCGGTTCCAGTTGAGCGCACTAGAGCATTATTAGCTACTGTAAGAATGCATTTTTTTCTTCTCAACATTTTATCCTGGACCTCAGACACTCCACCTATTAAAATTTTTCTTCAGCTCATATTTCCATGAAACTTTTTCACTTTCAGCAAAACAGCACATCCATCATAAAAAAACTGTATTTTGTTATTTTAATTAGCTCTGCTCTTGACAGTACAACTTCACCAAACACAGACATACATATCTCCCAATCCTCAAGAATTTTAGTTAACTTGAAAGGGCTCAAGAATGCAAGACCCTCTTCCCATTTAATCCAAAATGGCTTCAATTTATATGCCTCCAGAAATTACAACTCCTTAAGAGGCTGCTAGATTTACAATGTTGAAATAAAGTGAATGACATTTAAAATTTTAATAATCATAATTCAAGTTAATTATGTAAATATTGTTTATCAACATTTAAAGGTCTTGGTTGTGTTTGTTTCCTTTTTGAGTGAGGGGACAAGGTTGCTTAACCATTGTCTTATTTATGAACTTGAAGTATGAAGGAATTTAGTATTGCATATACCCCAAAATTTGCAGAAATCAGCTGCTTGATATGAAACACAAAATTCAAAATTATCTTTACATCAGAATAATACAGGTCTTATTCAGGTAAAACAGTTTCATTGTTTTTGGAAACATTTGTTAAGAAATGAAGAAGTGACAAGAATAAGACAATATCTGAAACAGTTTTCCAGAGCCTATGCATTTGCCTCACATATCCCTGATTAAAGCAATTTGTAACCTATGCATAAATATGAGTATAATTGAAATGTATGACCTTCAAAATATTATTACATATTGATTCTGCCAATTTATATCATAAGATGAACAAGAATTTTGCAGTAAATTGCACTATTATTGCAATCAAATATTTTAGTTTCAGAAGAAACAAAGGTTTAGAGAAACAGCTAGAATAATTGAGCTTATTCAGATAGGAGATTCTGGATGTGTTAGGAATGCAAAGCAGCCTCTGATTGCATAACGCTTAACACAACAATCATAGAAGTAATTGATTTCACACTTCTTCTAGGTTTTGTTTCTCATTACCAGGCAAAGGCAGCGATCATCTCATTTCACTTCAATGCAAGAAATGACAATTGTTGCTAATTAATACGAAAAATCTTTAATAGTTTCTTAGATTTTTAATTTTCTGGATCTCATAAATTTTAGAAGTCCTCAAGTT